GCATAGCTTTCCGACCACAAGTGCCGTTCGTCAGGGTTGCTCCATTTCCCCATTTTTGTTTAATTTTGTCATGGACTCCATCATGGAGTGTTCCCTTGCGGTAGCTTACGATGTAGGCGTTGCAGTGCCGCCTGATGAAAAGTTAGTTAATGTTTATATGGACGATATCGTCTTGCTTTTTGACGATGTTGCACAGGCACAAGCAACCCTGATTAGCCGGTCTAGAGTGGTCCCATTATTTGGTATGCGCTTCGCACGTTCAAAGTGCAATATGTTGCTGCAGGTCACCAACCATTTGATGATCGCTTAACCCTTCATAACGAGAAACTCGAGTTGGTTGGTCGATTCATTTACCTTGGCAGCCGCGTCAGAAACGATGAGCACATAGAAACTGGTCAGTTCGTGCATGGCAACACCAGAACTGTCTAATTGAACCTGCGGCATCTTAGGCGACAGAAGGGAGTTTCTCTCCATCTAAAATACCGTGTACACAAGGCCACAGTGAGGGCCGTCCTGCTCTCTGGCAGTGAGACAGCCCCTTCGGTCTGAAGACCTGAGGCGCCTTCAAGTCTTTGATGACCGTTGTCTGTAAAGCATTGCTGGTGTCGCATGGCACCAGCGCGTCCGCAATGATGATGTGCGTAGACGAGTACTAGGTAGTGATAACCATGCTAGCTCCTTAGAACAATATATAGCACTGAATAAGTTATGTTGGCTTTGGCACGTGCTACGTATGCCTGGTCACCGCTTACGCAGGAGGGACTTTTTTAGTTTGCCAGGTGTAGGGTGGAGCAAAGCTCGAGGTGGACAGAAGTTGACTTGGTAGCGTGAAATGAAGTCACTGACTACCAAACTGGGTGCCGTTGGTCCATCTTGCTTTCCGGTTGGAGTCCACGTGACCCGTCTTGTGCTTGACATGGCTCTCAATCGACACCAGTGGCGCGTTTACTGCCGTCTCCTAGTCGGATTGTCTGTTTAAAGTATGTTTGGCGCTGAGTTATCTGCGGGGTAATGGCTAATTTTAACGTGGGGCAGTGAAAGCCGCAAGGAAGCAGTCTAGCCGATGCCGCCTTATCTTCGCATGACAACCAGCTGTTTGTGACCGTATGTTGCTAACACAAAGTGTAGGCTCCTTGACCCTGACTTTTTGCTTAGGGCACTAAGGTTTTCAGGTAAGTTCCCCTTCTCTCCCTTTTATTATTCATTATACCTTAGGTCATCATAGTTATATGGTAGCGAAGCATCAGTTCAAATGACTGATTTACTGCAAAGTCATCCGGGGTCTGTCCATTCAAACGCATCCTTGACCGCAGACCACTGTGCAAACATTCAATTAAATTTACAAACTTACTCGGACAACCAAACCTACCCAACACCAGCCACAATGCCTTGCGGTTCACAGTATCAAATGATTTGGTGAAATCAACAAAAAGTGAGTACAACGGAAGGTCCGGCTGAACACTAATATTTGCACCTTTTAGCTTAAACGCAAACCGCATGACAGCGCTGCGTTCTTCCGGGGTAGAGAGTACCACACGAAGTAGCCGCGGTCGAGGGTTTGGTACGTTAACTGGGACGTTCCCCAGTCTAAACAGCTTCCTGATAGTAACACCTGGAAAACCAGGCGGAAGCTCCGTTACGCACATCTTAAACCATTGAAGGTCGTCCAACATGCGATCAGCAGGAAGGACAGCAGTAGATTCAGTCGTGTTACGGAATATAAGGCTACTATCCGTGAAATAATCGCCACGACGGGGTGTATTAACCTCACGGGTCTTTGATTCGACACTTGGAGCAGGTGGCTTCACCACTGGTGATGGGACTGTCTTTAGCGCCTCCGATGAGGTAGCAACGGCAGCATATGTTTTCGCTCCATTGTCGGTGTCTTACTTTTGTTAGGGTCATCGATTCCACTGAAAGGCTTTATAGCAGATTTGGTCTGCTTTTTCTTCTTGATAACGGGAGCAGGGTCCCGTGAGGCTTTTTCGCTTTGAGCAAAATCAAGCAGACCTTCAGAACATGCCTTCTCGGTGAGAACCGAGATTGCCGGCAACTTCGGCCGACAAGTAGTGCGTGTTGGAATCTTCGCCTTCCCACAACCGACAGACGGTTTGCCAAGTAACGACACTTGGCTTGTTTCCGGTGCAGAGACAAGTATAACTTCTTGTTTAGCAGAGAGCTTACGGGGTTTCCTGGCTCTCTTTCGCTTTACTCGAAGGGACCCTTGAACTAGTAATTCGGCGTCGATCAGGGTAGCTTTAGACACGACGTCCGAAGCTGCTTCATTTTTGTGGTCGGTAGCCATCTGAACCGGTGACATAATGATTGGTGCCACAAGTTGATCATCAGTGTAAACGATCAAATCTGCGTTGTTGGAGACCGGAAACGTCTTCATGAGCAGACCAATCTTAAAGCGAAGATCTGAGAGCATCGAGAACGAACGCTTTACATTTCGCAGCCGGGTATCAAGAGATTCGTCTCTCGTACGAAAGGCCGCGTGGCCTTGCCGGCGGCTGCAGCAATTGGCACAACTGAAAAGCAACTTTTTGCTGGAGGCTAGCGCTGGGTAATGCTCGGTATTCAGGTCCGTACAAAGCTGATGGTACCATCGGTTGCAGACATCGCACTGCATACCGCCGGAATCGACAGTTACTGGTATATTGCAGCTTGGACTGCCACAAAGAGCGATAACCTCAGAATCCAAGCCACTAGGAACAACAGCCTCGGTGCATTGCGAGACCGACATAGTGGAAAACGGAGTGGAATTATAACACGTACACAATAGTTAAACGACCTCAATAAAAAAGGCAAAAACTGGGTGCAAAACGGGATTAAAACTGGGGAAAACCGGAAAAATTACCAGTAAGCGTCAAAGACACTTTGACCAGTTCAGTTCAGATGGGACTGGCACGATAGGAGAATCTCGTGAGTGTTCCATCTTGAGCGGATCGTTGAGCCAGGAATTGATGAAGTGCTCAGTTATTGATGGATCTAAAACGGAACACCCGTATCGCACCCTGGCCAACCAGTTAATACCCACGTTTCCTGCCCTAGCAGTCCCTGCTGTGGCAGTCACGTGAAGTAAGCAAAGGATAGGAGGAGAAATCGAAGGTACAGAATAAGGAAGTGCACTTAAATAAGGAAATAATACCCATGTGTAAGGAAACGTAGAGAAAAGAAAATCGAAGTACGAAGATGCGAGTTACTCAGGAAAATGGAAAGGTTTCGTGTTGCCACCCAAGAGCGTCAAGTTGCTGCTCAAAGCCCCTAACCGTAGATTCCCTGATAACACTCCGGAAGCATGTTCCAGCGGTCAATAACTCGGTGTGACAGTCGGATTTCCGCCCTAATCCGATGGGACCGCGGTTTGTTCAGCTTCAAGGAATGACCGCGTAGAACAGACAATCTAGCGGGACTAAATAGCCAAGATAAATCTGGACCAACCTTCCCAGTTAAGATACGGTAGGTTAGGATTAGGTATCCTCTAAGCCTTCGGTAGTGCATTGAATGCATTCCCAAAATAAGTAGACGCTCGGGGTACGTCCGTCCCCGTACTTCATCAACTATCCTACTACCCACCCCCGAACTCCTCTTTAGCTTTATTCTGTCAAGCAGAGAAGGCAAGCCTGGACGGAGTATACCAGATGGGACCGAACGAAAGCCGAGAAGAGTCTCGCAAAGGCGCCGCCTATAAAGTTTCCGAAAGAACGGTGTATTAACCATAATATGCGAAAACCTCTGCCTGCGACCTTCCACTTGTCACCCGAGTGAAAACCAGACGAGTTTACGAAGCCTAACTCAACCTGGCTACATACACGGGGCGATCGACTCCAACGAGCAAATACTTTGCAGGAGAAAAACTTACTTTATTTCGAATAACGGAGCACTTTGCCTGATTTATGGGCAGTAACCATAAAGTAGACCAGTCCCAAAGCTTATCCAATGCTCGCTGAATAGCTTCGGAACCCCCAGGAACATCGACAACGTTCCACAGCTTCAGGTCATCAGCAAATAGCAACGATGGTACCTCAAGCTCCGCAGGTAGGTCATTCACATAGATAGAGAACAGCAGCGGTCCAAGGACCGAGCGCTGTGGCACGCCACTGAGGACAGACTGCTTAAACGATAGGCCCCGGCCTACCCGTACACACTGTTCTCTACCCTGCAAGAAGGCAGTCACCCAATGAAGGGCGCGGCCAGATACCCCATAGGAGGACGGCTTTTGCGCGAGCCTCAAATAGGGTACCTTGTCAAATGTCTTCGAAAAGCACGTCCAGCGCGTGGCCGTTATTCACTGCATCCGCCCAACTTTCGCGAGCCACCAGTAGATTCGTCAGACACGAAAATCCCTTCCGGAATCCGTGTTGTACATTGCTAAGTAGATTAAATCTACTCAGATGACTCTCAAATGAATCTCTCACCAGTTTCTCGAGGAGTTTGACTACTACACTCGTCAGACTAACTGACCTGTAATTTGCAGGTAGACCCCTGTCCCCATTTTTGAAGATGGGACAGATGACAGCTTTCTTCCATTCGGATGGCAATGCACAGCTGTCAAGCGATTTCTGAAACACAATAGCGAGCGGTCCGCAGCCAACACATGCAACAGTTTCGCGTGAATTAAATCAGGCCCAGAGGCCTTAGAAGGATTCAGCCCTTGTAACAGCCTACGAACTTCCGTCTCGGCTATAATAAATTCAGATAGTTCTGAACCCTCTGGGGTCCTGCAAACCAGCTCAACGCCTGTCAAAGAGGTTTCTCTTACAAACGCTGTCGCATATTGCCCACTAAGTACGCAGGCCTTGTCATAGTCCGTATGCGCATGAGTACCGTCATCACGCATCAATACTGGAATTGACATGTTCGAACCGCAGCGCCTTTTGACATAAGCGAAGAATCTTTTTGGATTCTCTGAAGCTTCGTCTGATAACCCTTTCTCGAAATTTAGCCGAACATCCCTTAGGTGTTGCTTACACCTATTTCTAGCCTTACGATACCTGTCATAAGTATCGGTGGACGGAGCATCCCCGTAAATCCGCCAACATCTAGACCTTTTTATGAGCGGATGCCTGCCGGTGGGATCTATCCAGGGCGGCTGTGCTCGGGCCTCCTTTCTCCTTCTGACTGGGATGAAGGAAGCAGAGACCTCTGAGGTAGGACTTACATTTATCCCAGGCAACGTCGACAGTATCATCGTCCGAGATCTCACAATGCAAACCCGAAGCCTTGGCTCACATTGCTTGATAGCCTGCGTGCCATATGTTCGGGACTCAACAGTACTCTGGTAGCGTCTAGACGGAGTACAACTGAAGAGCAAACAAACATGATCACTGGAACCCAGTGGAGGTCCGTAAGTAATGTCACCAACAAAATCGAGTGACTTAGCAAATACAAGGTCTAAGATGGACGGTACTTGGGCGTCCATGTACTTAGTGGGGAGGTCAATGAACGGTGCAAAGATACTTGGAGAGTAAGCTCAAGCAGATCAGCGCCGAATGTGCCTGACGCTGAGTCGCAAGAAGGATCTGCCCAGCAAATCTCTGGGAGGTTGAAGTCGCCCATCAACAAACACTTATTTGCGGACTGCGAGCGAATGAATTCAAGCACCTCTTTGGATACGCTCCCAGAGCTTCTATACACAATTACAACTGTAACCTGAGCCGAGGATGTGCTAATAACAGCCGACAGAAGTTCAACAGTTTTGTCTGCTGACTGAAATAAACAAGTCGTCAAAACGGCAAGTTTACAGCTCACATAAAGAGGGACGTTCCCTCCCTGTCGACCAGAACCGCTTAAATCGATCCAAGATATCTTGGATCAGAGGAAATTTGACAATAGTCATATTCCGTTGCAAGTGTTTATTCAAACACTGTTTTCCACAATATTGTAGCTAAAAAGCTAGATCGGTGTGGCACGCCAAAAAATTGAGTTACGGCGTAGAACTCACAGGGAAGGGCGCGGCCAGGTAAGCCGTAGGAACTCAACTTTTGTGATAGCCTCAAGTGGGGTACTGTTATAATCTTCTCACTAGACGCAATTCCAAAAATAACAATTTACTGCTCCACAAAACTTCGGGAGTGGCTAATTTTTGACATGGAAAATCGGCCTGGAGGGTTTCACGGGTTAGCGTAACTTTTCGGTGGTTCTGCCTCGGGATCTTACGGCAAGGTCCTGATCTCGTCGGTAGGTACCAGATGTTGTGAGTCTCGACGCAGTAGTGGTGTTCAGCACAAGAGTTCAGCGAGTTGACTGTGGGAACGTGGATACCTGGAACAAGAGAGTGGTGTAGGTAAATTCGGCAGGACAGTTACTGTGAGCTCATTGGCAATACGTCGCGCACTAAGCAGAAGTCACGTGTTAAATTCCGCACCTAATCGTCAGCCCTCGGTAGCTCAGTGGTAGAGCAACGGACCGGAAATTCGTGGACCGGGGTTCGATTCCCCGTCGAGGCAGATTTTCGTGTGGAGTTTAATCGTGACATCTGCCTTCTACGAAAATTCGGCAAAGTTGGATAGAGGCAAAATGATAGAAGCGCCGCAGGTTAGCTTGGCAAATGGCCAGATCTTAGCAACGTGGAAGACCAGCGAGGTAAGAGCCAAGCGTCTAGGCGCTGTTTGAAGGCCTCCGTATTGGGCGCTAAGACAACAACTTCAGGGAGGGCGTTCCAAGCGAAGGCAATACGCACACTGAAACTGTTTCTTCGGCACAGAGGGCGACTGCTACGAGTCATCAGTTTGAGTGAGTGCCCTCGAAGATGATCTGTACGGGCGCGGACCAGCAATCCTGCGTTTGGGTGCCTGTTATTAGTCAGGACGGAATAAGCTAAGATAAGGTCGCCACGAAGCCTGCGATATTTCAACGGGAAGAGGTTATGGGCCGCCAGACGCTCCTCATACGAGAAGTGGGATAGTCCGTCCACTCTCTTAGTGGCTCTGCGATGTACAGTTTCCAGCATGACCTCGTCCTTCTTCAGGTACGGCGGCTGGACAAGTATGTTGTACGCCAGCAGCTTACGTACTAAAGTGCTATATAGACGGACAAATGTCTCTCTAGGGAAAGACCCTAGTGCACGTCCAAGGAGGGCCAGGCGAACGCTAGCCTTTCGCGCCAGTGTAGCTACATTGGCGCTCGGGCTCAGGTCGGCGGATATTATGGTCCCCAGGTCGCGTTCCTGGGATGTGGCTTCAAGATGCACACCGCCGATATTGTACGGATTAGCCACACCTCGCCCAATGTGCATGACTTTGCACTTGTCGATGTTAAACGGGAGCGAATATTTTCGAGGCCCAAGAATAAGCAGCATCGAGATCTGTCTGGAGAAGTGCCTGATCACTTGGCCTGCGGATAGGTCGCCATGTCTTAGCGTCGTCCGCATAAAGCCGTAGGTGGCTGCTGATACAGGATGGGAGGTCGTTGCTGAACAAATTGAACAGCAGGGGCTAGAGGATGGATCCCTGGGTCACCCCGGTCGTTGCAGCCAGAGCGCTGGAGAGTGCGCCGTTTACACGAACTCGGTAGGTGCGGCCAGACAGGTAGGTACTTAGCCAGCAGATTGTTTGCTGGTCGATCCCCAAACTCGGCAGTTTACTCAACAGCAGTGCGTGATTGACCCGGTCGAATGTTTTTGAGAAATCCATGTAAACCACGTCAGTTGGAGTATGATTGTCTGTCTCTGCAGTCCAGGAATCAAGGGCTGCGAGAAGATTCGTGGTGCAGGAGTGAGCCCTGCGGAACCCGTGCTGTTCCGGGGCTTTTAAGGACAGACTTTCTAAATGGCAGCGCAAGAAATCGTCTATGATACTCTCCATTAGTTACCTACAGAGGTGTAACCATCTCAAACTCCAGCCTCTATGGCTGCGGCGCATTATCTTAAACCTGTGCTTCTTACATAAGTTAATATACCAAGCGGTGCACAGTGATATCCCCAGCCTGACACTGAGAAGAGGATCAGAATTCAACCTCCGAAACAAGCACTGCACAGTTGCCCCGCTGCCAGCGAGGAAGAAACTACGTTCACGTTTCTTCCTTGTCGCTTATGTAAATATCTGGAACAAATTACCTTCACAGCTGCGGGAGATTCACAATCCACAGGCTTTCAAGCAGGAGGTACGAAAGTTTATGTGCCTGGATAACATAAGACGCCTTTTCAACATCTGTGATTCTGATGACAACCATTTTGAGACCGGCCCCAATGGGGCATAGATCACATTTTGGTCTGCTCTGGCGCAACTTTGTATTGCGCTCAACTAGGCTTCATGACAGGAGCATCTTGAGCTCACAGGTCCTCCCCATACTTTGCGGTCCCTGTCACACCACGTGAGAGACCTTGGCCCGATCAGTTGCACGCATCTTACAGATGTTAGGACTGCTAATCCGACCACAAAAGGTATTCAGCCTACCCCAGTAGTAGCTGAGCGCTTTACTGGCTCCCACCGACACTTAGTTAAATAGGAAGTCTTGAAATAGTAGACGCTACCGCAAAGGCAACCTGGAAACACTAATCGGTAGCTCAAATCCTTTGAAAGCTCCTTCTCGACGTCCAGTTTCTTACTGCTCAACAGATCAGCACTTAAAGCAGCCTTGTACTATTGAATGGGAGCATCGTAAGCCTGTAGGCACTGACCAGGTAGGATATTGCATAGCAATGGGGGAGCAATCCGAACGGACAAACTTACTTCACTTCTTCCTTCTCTTCTACACTTTGGTTCCTTCGTCTCCATCTTTACCCCTTAGTATTTTCCAAATACCTAGTCCACTTGGTCTCTTGCGAATACTTATACTTGTGACCCATGAGTCACGTCTACTAAAAACGTTTTAACAACATTAAGCCTCATGTGAAATGCCAGGTTCTAGCGTTGTTGTCCACACATATGGAGCACCCGTAAGTTACCATTTATCTGTCTAAAATAGTCGTATAAATTGCCTGCTTTATAGGTATTTCTACTAGCCTACGTAATCGGCATCTACTAGTTGCCCATAACCGATGCCCTCCCCTAGGTTTAAGTACTCGCTACTTTACACCGCTGATTATATAACAGAGCCACCTACCCACCTCGAAGGCAATATTACCATAACCTATATTCAGGCATTTACTCTCCACTTAAGCTTCCTTGGCCCGTACATTTAGTTTTATCTGAGTTATACGTATGCCTATCACTATCTGAAACGCTGGTAGACAGGCATTATGAAAAACCAGATCCTTTTCTTCAATCCTTTATGCTTGCACAACAATTTTTCCGGATTCCCTTTCTCTGGCAAAAGGCTAACCATGCGGCAGTGAGGCCCCTGTCACCTGGAAAGCTAGACACCCAGATATTTTGACCACCACTGCTTCTTTCCTTGGCCGTTCGTACGTAATTTTAACCTTTACTTGGCTCCAAAGCTTAGCATTGTAGCTGTCTGGAGATTCCTCGGTTTGCCTGTGTAAAATTCTAACCAAAATTCTTTAATTGTACACCTAGGCAACCGGAGGGGTTCGTTGAACTGCTTCCTGAGTTCGAATGCTTTACTTGCTCATCGCCATTTTTGCTTGGCGCTCGTTTCGGTTGCAACGCGCAACTGCCCTGTGTGCTGTGCTTGCTCCATTCCCCTAGCTAGAGCGTCCACGGTGTCGTTCATTTATAGCTAGATAACAGGGAATCTTTTACTGTACCAATAAAAGTTTCCCTGCAACTCGATCTGTCTTCTCGAATCGCTCTCTGGGCTCCCGGAATAGGCAACCCTCTAAATTGGTGACCCCGACTCCGGAACAATCTCAGCGCCGGATATTCGGAACTTTTCTCCGGTGAGCTCGTTCCATTTATTTTTCATATTTTCCGGTTTATTTTTGCATACGGTAGCCTATATTTTGCGTCATTTTTAAGCCATGGATTCTGTAGAACCTAAGGTAGAGTCTCTGCTTAGCGTTGTATCTCTCTCTGTTCCACCTTTTTGGGACATGGATCCTGTTTTGTGGTTCGCTCATCTTGAGGCTGAGTTTTACAACCACAGAATCACTTCCGACTACGCCAAGTATTGCAAGCTCCTGTCCTATCTCCCCAAGGAGATATCAATGCAGGTTCGTGACGTCATCATTTCTCAGACCGAAAACCGCTATGAGGCTCTCAAGGAGGCCACGATTAAGCGTGTTATGCCCTCTGAGAAAGTTCGCCTGCAACAACTTTTCAGGGATCTGCAGCTGGGCGACAAACTGCCCTCAACCCTGCTATGAGAGATGCAGCAACTCCTTGGTTTTTCAACCATGGATGAGACGTTAATTCGCGAACTGTAGCTACAACGGCTACCGGAAAACACGCAAGCGATTCTCGCTACAGTGAGCCCCGTTCCGCTCACTCAACTAGCAGATTTAGCGGATCGAGTTATTGAACGATCACAGCCACAAGCCGACGCCAGCAAGGTCCATGCCGTCGCGTCCCAGGGCACTTC